TAAATAAATACAAAACAGAAACAGACTCATAGACATAGAATACAAACTTGTGGTTGCCAGGGGGACGGGGGATAGGAAGGGACAGACTGGGATTTCAAAATGCAGAATAGATAAACAAGATTATACTGTATAGCACAGGGAAATATATACAAGATCTTGTGGTAGCTCACAGTGAAAAAAAATGTGACAATGAATATATGTATGTTCATGTATAACTGAAAAATTGTGCTCTACACTGGAATTTGACACATATTGTAAAATTATTATTACTCAATTAAAAAAAGTTAAAAAAAAGAAACTAAATAGAGGTAATGGTTACACCACATAGTAAAGGTACTAAATACCACTGAATTGTACACTTGAAAAAAAAGTCTTGACAAGAAGAAGCACACATCACAAAAAGAAAGGGAAAACACTACCAACCCCTATGCTGATGCAGTGCTGCTCCATATCTGTTCAAACAAATTTTATTTTGCTTCTGAACGTTGATTTGTCCTTTTGGGATATGTCTTTTTATAGTATAATGGTCATGGATAATATGATATGCAAGTTTTAAAAGACGACAACTTTTAAAAACCTACCAAAATGTGATAAGTTTTTCATTTATTTCATATTTGTCATTTCGAAGTCTCTGATTTTCTTTTCAGAAAGACCACTCTGTCTGCTGTGAGGTGAGTGAATTAGAGAGGGTCAAAAGTGGGAGCAGAGAGACCTGCTGGAAAACTACTGCAATAGTCCAGGTTAGAAAATAATGAAAGCTGGACATCTGAACAGGATGTGGAAGGAAAGGGAAGAGAATAAAAGATGCCTCCTAGGTTTCAAACTCAAATAGCCGGCAGGTGGGGGGCAGGGATGGTGATGCCATTTAAAATAATGAGAGACTAAGGCAAGAGCAGTTTAGGCATAGGGAACCAAGAGTTCTGACTCAGAAATTAAATGTGAGATGCTCGTTCAATACTGAAGTACAGATGTCAAGCAGGCAGGTGAGTATAAACTATGGAACTCAGAAGGCTAAAGTTGAGAGTGATGAATTTAAGTCAAGGATATTATTTGAAGATTGAAGTGGTCACTTTGGGGGAGAGTTATAGAAAGAAAAGAGAGCCCCAAGCCAAGCTATGAGGCACTCCCACAATTCTAGAGGCCAGATGTAAAAGGCTATGAAGAAACAGCCAGAGAGGTGAGAGGGTTGTGTCACAGAACTGAGAGATGAAGAAAATGTTCCAAATAGTTAAGAGTAATCAACTGCATCCAATGCTGCTGAGAAAGCATGTAAGACAAGGATGAAGAGTGACCAACAGATTTATTCACTTGAAATTCCACATAATGGAGTACCTAGGATTTACTAGGATCTATGATAAGCATTTCTCCTACAAAAAATATTTGCTCCTCACAACTCAGTGAGGTAGGTTTTATAAATGTGGAAAGTGAGGCTCAGAGAGAGCAAGCAACTTATCCAAGATCACACAGCTGGAATTCAATGCTTAATCCAGGTTGACATGAGTGATAAACTTGTTCAGTTAACAAGTCATATAAAATAGTTTATGAGTATTTCTAATATATCATGATTATTAATGAGAATTCATAATTTGGGGGTACCTATAAATTACAGTGCTGTTTAAGTAAGGAAAAGCAAATGAGGTTTATAAATTGAAAAAAATTGCATTTTCATAATGTGTGAATTTATTGCCTTATATATAAAGATATAGCAACAATGTAAAAAATTGTTTTTCATGTACTTTAAAATATTTGAATTAATTTTCTATCAGAATAAGGTTTTTAACATTTATATTTAGCTTAAG